GTGTGTGTGTGTGTGTGTGTGTGTGTGTGTGTAACAATTATGCATTTCCGCAAAAAGTCAATCAATTTGCAGAATGCCGAACGTACCCGTTGGACATGGAGGTATTAGCTATTAGGCGATAAGGATTAGGCAAGCTCACACCACAGCATTTAGGGCTGTTAGATGGATTGGTTAGAAGGTTTCTTCCGCCTTCTTACTTATGCCGGGACGGTGGTCTGGGTTTCGATTTAGACTAAGTGACAAAGAGAAATAAAGGTGACTCCTCATCACTTATCATTACAATAACGTATTGGATAAGAGAGATGGTTAGATGAAAGTTGCAGACGTCACTTACACGTCGCATAAATGATTTGATTGGATTTGGAGTCTAAAATGAAGTTACAAATTCGTATTTGGTTAAGTGCTTCATATGATTTGACTGCTTCCAAAGGTGACGCGCACTCTATCAGTGTCACGTATGTGTGACGCCCGAGTTTTCCTTCACAGTCTTCCACAAATCAATTTTATGCACTCACTCCAGCCTCTGCCTACTTTCAGCAATTCACCTTCAACATCAGAAGATATGTGTCCGTGAGGCTGGAACAGCCTACGACAACTCTACCGCCCGTCATGACGTACGTTGTCCTCGGCATGGATAGTGGGCTTTATGTCGATGAGGCATCCAGAATCAGCCATTCCACACGCTGCCAGAGTGTTTCTTCACACAAATGACTGCTGCGCTCTAGGCTGGGAACATCTAGCACAAGCTCCATGTCTGCCATCGCCACTGCCACACAGACTGGATGGCTGAAGTCTTGCACATGAATAGTTCTTCATGAGTTAGGATTTGAGACTTTGGTTTCCACGGCGATGTGCTCCACGAGGACACGCTGTTGCATGCATGCACTATTACTGCCATCACCACCACCACCACCCTTTCCTGTTATCTTGAGTAATGATGTAGGAATTGGTACAAGTACGACGTTCGCAGCAGTTACTAGTGTAGGAAAATGTTGAGCTAATACGGCAGTCATCAAGCGCTCCTTTTGATACGAGTAAAATTAACAATACTCTGATGCGTTGATGAATAAATACCACCGTACTTGGATGACTTAAGCGCTACATATAAAAACGCAGCTAGTGCTCTATTAGAGGGAATTAAAGAGGAGCCTAATCAAAGAGCTTAAAGAGGTGCCCACCTTAGGGGTAATTGGTTCACGTGCAGGCGTATCTGGCGTGGCGAGGTAGATAGAGGGTCTGCGAGACACAGGCTTTGGTTCGGGTGGGATAGGGCGCAGTAGAGTGAGTTTCACAACGTCCACTTCAAGAGGGAAGGTGACAGGGGCCGCGGCCTCCCCATTTTCACCAACTTCGTTGGCAGCAGCAGCTGCGGCTTGGGCTCGGATTGCCCGGTCGTAGCCTTCAACGCCGAAGCGGATGGCCGCTACCGCCTCATTGTGCGTCATGAAGCGCGCATCCATGCCGTTGATGCTCACCACGAGGTCACCGGTGCGCATTCCATTTTCGCTGGCTGGAGTATCCGCATCCACACCGAGGATCTCCACTGGGCCGGTACCTGTAGTGGCGAACGAGAGTGTAGGGAAACAGCGTCAAGAAAAGGCGCTCCGTTCTTTCATTCATCTACGCCCTTTCTCAAAGCCGCCCAGAACTGTTCAGTCTAGGAAGATCATTGGTAAATCAACGCATGAAAACACATAGGTCGAGCTAAGTGTTGTTTATTGTAGTCTGTTGTATTCCACACTGGGTCTTTATGGCTCCGATCCCATTAATCATGCATCTAAACCAGCGTGATAAAGTGGCTTCCAGATCTATAATTCTGCATCGCTTCAGGGGTTAGCTTGTGTCTTCATCTCTATTTATTACGAATTTTGTATCTTGATGGAGCTATCACAAAACTTCATTTGACCACACAGGTCTCCTCAATCTCTTAGGTGCTGGAGGCAACTTCCAGATTTGCGCTTCTTGAAGCCTTTGAAGCCAACTCTGAAACCATCAAATTTTCCACATAAAGCCTTTCTCCTTACCTTGAATGCTGAAGCCATAAACGACTTTTTCATCACGAGCCAGCTGCACCGTATAGGGCTGCGACCATCGCTTTTGCGCGTTGAAGTACCTTAAGGGTCCCAGATCGCGGAAGGGATCTTCGCCCTTTGTTAACATATTCTTCCCGCTCTTAAGCACATTGTAACTCAAATTTTTAGGCAACTCGATTTCAGCAGGTAGGAAGGTGGGCGCCGACCAAGGATTTCCTTCGGCTTTTTTTGCAGCAGCGGCAGCGCTCAGTGACTTCTTACTCATAGTGGAGGTGGTGGAGATAACACTTGCGGTGTCCACATTCGAGGAGGATCGGTTGAAGGACTTCGCTCCGAACAACCATTTCTTGCGTGGTTTTTTGACAGGAACTGTGTTGGAGTTGCTGTTACCCTTTGTTAAGCGATCCAGTTGTTCCGCCCACCTAAAAAAATTTAGCAATAGTTTTACGGGCCGAAGAGGCTTTGGAGTAATCTAGTATTTCCTAGTACTCAGTATTGCAAAATGAACGATTTGGATAATGACAAAGAATTGAGGTTAGTTGATTTGAAAGCTCCAGAATCGTTGAAATGATTTAGTCTTACACTAACTCCACAATGAAGATGGACTATCGCATTACACCCGAGAGCACCGTTTTCTCGACGCTGAAGTTTATTTCCATCTTAGAATTGAAAGCAAGTGGCTAACAGAATGCTCCTTGTCTGGTTGAAGGCTACAAAACACCGGTTGATGGTGTGTTTCCCCTACGATTGGAAGACATTACTTGCCCTGATCGAACGGCGTAAGAATACGAAGTCAGGACCACCGTTTTCTCCATATAGCCTTTCATCGACTTAAAAAAGGGCTATTTAAAATAAAGCTTATGCTAGATTTGCTTGGTTTAATGGTCTTTTAAGAGGGAGTACACTGGCAATAAAGGACTATTTGTCACAATCAAAGACAATGACAAATAGGTTGGCATCAAGAGCGCCGCACTTGACAAGGGCCTTGTAATCACCACGACTTTGTCGAGTCCACGCTGGTAACATACGTCTCAGCCCATAAAACTCATACACCTAGTCGTCAAGCTTTTCTACGTGTCACTGATGATGGGAATTCTAGATTTTATTACTCCTATGATCCTGAGAAATAACTTGAGGAATCAGAACGATTGTTGGCATCATGACAGCAAGAAAAATAACGCACATGTCCACATCTTTGCTAACAAAGGCCTTCAAATTTGCTTCGCGGTTGAGATCAGAGGACTGTTCAATGGACTGGAGAGCCATCTGCGCCCAGGACAGCGCCTCAGCCAGGCAGACCCGGCCGAGGAGGTGGGCGTCTTTGCGGTTGGAGGGTGGGGCCACCAGTTCGCCCTCCAAATCACCTCCAATCCCTGCCAAATTTGGCATGGAGAAGGCCGAGTCTGAGGAGTATCCAGAGCGCATGCTTAGCGAGGACGAACGGTCGCTAAAGTAGGTGAGGTCTTCGGAAGCTGTTGACAGTAGCGAAAGAAAGACAGGAGGTTACCTTACATAATAAATTTTAAGATCATGCAGTCATTCTGACCAGTGCTGTCAGAACGATGGAGCAGTACACTAACGGGTTTTTTTATGGCTAAAAGAAGCAGGTTTTTAAAAGATGCCAAATAATTTCTGATAAATTTTATTTAACCCGTGAATGGAAGAGAGGCAGCGACTTACCACGCGACTTGCCTCGGCCCAAACCACTGAGAGAGAGGCTGGAGAGGGTGCGTTTAATTCGTGACACTGGACGTGGGGCGTCGTTATTCATAATGGACCGGTAACGTCGACGTCGGTGATGGGGGTGCCTACGGCTAGCTCGCGGGGTTTGCCGATGCAGTTTAATGTAGGGCCTCAGGATCACAAAGAGCTCGTCTAAAGCCAGCACAGAATTTACAACAGGTCATGTAAAGCCATCCAGTCATTTCATTAGACTTGAGTAGCAAGGAGGTGGATGTAAAAGTAATCTACTCAAAACAAATTTTGATGCAACATAAAATGTCCTTTAGATTAAAAGCCTTCAATACACTATCATTATTGAGCGGCTTCTTTAATCATCAGTTTTTTCGATCAAACTTTCTTCATTCTATAGGGGCGATTGAGATTTCGTAGCTCTTGATGAAACTCACTACGCACTTTTTGCTGAGAGAGAGGATGATGGATTGCTCGCATGGGTGCGCTCACTATTAAGGTAGAAATGAGCTCTTACACGGTGCTTTTTTTGCTGAATTGGGGTGATTAATGACAAGACATCAAGTGAATTAAGAGTCCAGTGTGAACAAAATGCACCGCCCTGGGAATTGTGGATTCGTCAGTGGTAGTGGTGGCAAATCGACCACCAAGGTTCATAAATGCCCCGCTTAAGGGCCTTTATAAAACGAAAGAAAGATAATTGTTTTAACATTACAATTACCATGCAATGTAACTGTGGCATAATATAATGCATCGTGAACCCATGTCACATATGTGTGACGCTAGTAGCCTGTTAACATCCGATCTTCCTACCTCATACCTCATTTTCCCAGACAAACATTTCGATTAGTAAGCTTATAAAAAGGCTTCTTGTTTTTAGGCAAATACGATCACAAATTCATGAATTAATCCGCTAGAGTACGAAATGCACGTCGGTGATTGAACCCTCTTAATCCCTTCAAATAAAATTTCCATTTTGTGGGTAAAATTTTGTAAAGACTAGATTTCTAAACTAGCACATTTGTGAGCAAAATTTAAAGGGTTTCAGGATAGAGTGGGCTGCAAAGGAAGGAAGTTAAGAGCACCGAAACATCGAGGATAGGCGTTGGTAAAGGCAAGTGGGTAAACACAAGTTTGATTGATACCAAGCGTCGAATCCTCGTCAAAACACTGCAAGCCTTTGACATCGTGGCATGAGCGCTTTCGACAGCCAAGCCACATACGTGTAAAATACGCGGTGACAATTCAACACACCAAATTGTGCCGAAGGCGATCAGGGTTAGCTGGTTTTATGAGCCAGGTTAAGGTGGTCAAAGAGTCAATGACAGGTGATTTCATAGTCCTTATTTGTATAACATTAATAAAAGCTCCTCCAATTATGCAAAAACGATCACCAAATTCAAATAAAATTAGTGAATAAGACGGAAGCTTACTTAGTTGCCTGCCGACTTCGGCATCAAGAAACCCGTCGTTTGAGAAGAGCCCCTCTACCGGCAAGGGCTTCACCTCAAATGGTCCAGCGTCAGGCATTTTTCCATTGGTAGCAAGGCAAATGAGGACAATGGCGAGTTTGTGGTTGATTTGCGCCTGATAGTATTGGGATTTTACCTCCAAAAGTTTCAGCCATGAGAAGGGAATGATCATAGTCACTTGACTTCCCTCTAAATCGTCGTAGGTGGATGCTGTTGGTGATGCCACCTTGCCGTAGCCTTCGCTCAGCTACAAGGAGGAGAGGAAGGGGAGAAGTAAAACACTGTTGTTTCAATCTCTTGGGAGCTGGCTTATGCACCGGTGACATTAGGCTTTCATCATGTCCTCAGTGACCAAGTGGGCCTTCTACATTGCACGATCGGACTAATAAGTCTTGCAAAGACGTCAGAGATGACTGGCAAACAGCAATTGTGGTAGCGTTGGCAATGTTATTTTCCAAAAGGGATAATCTTGCTCATTGTAGGTTATCTTTCGATAAAGCCACCTGCTATGGATGGATGGACACTCAGAGAAGGAAAGTTACCGCAGCCTCGGTAAGTCCAGAAAATCATTTCGATCTTAGTTAAGGGCCGAAAGAAATCAAATTGTAGACTGAGGCGATGGGAAAGCAAATTACTGCTTATTTTTTCAGAACCTGATTTCGCCCACACAACCACCAAGGAGAATAACTTACGAAGCTTGCGCCACCGATGTATTTGATTAGTTGAGCA